GCTCCGTGGACTAGGAGCGCCAGGGAATTTCGACGTTCAGGTGGCGTCCAGCGACTCGGCATCCCGCGCGCCGGGTCATCGCGAACTCAGGCGCGATCCTGAACATCATATTCAAGCTGTGTACCATAATGGCCAATCGTACGGAGAAGGTAGAGAGCTAGGGACAGCTTCGCGAACTAAAGTGTATACCATAGTGATCATGCGTAACTGAAGGGTAAAGAATGATAACTTTTGATAAAAATTAAATTTCCAATTCGCAAAATTTTGTAAATTATTGTATAGAGAATAATGAACGCGGCTATTGAAATTATGAAAGAGCCAAACGAACCGCAGAGCCTCTTAGCCCCTTAAGCCTCGCTGAATCGACATTTGTTGCAAATTCGAAATTGAATATCTCGACACCTAAATATCCTAGCAGCAAATTTCAAAAACGATTTGAAAGCTTTGAAACCGTACTTTTCGAAAGATCTATCGAAATTGTACGTAACGATATTTTTTCAAAATGGCGGGTGATAAAAAGGAGAACATGAAAAGTTGCTAAAAAAAGGTTTGAGCGTGCGACGGCGCATGGAGCAAAGTAAGTGTCGCAGCTCAATGGGACGAAAAGTACCTAAAAGTATAGAATGTTTTCTTTAAAATACTTCGTTATAGAGCTTGATGCCATACTTATTCACTGAATTATGCAAATTTAACAAGAAAACCGCATTTTTAGCAAAATTTGGAACAACTCAGTGAAAAATGATCACATCGAGCTCGGTAAAGTAGCATTTTAAAGATAACACTCTATACTTTCATGTGTATTTGGTCCCATTACGTTGCGATACCTGATGCACACCATGCACCATCGCAAACACGGACCTTTGATTATCAATTTTGCATCCTCTCACTTTATCATCCGCCATTTTGAAAAAAATGGCCGAGCATAATTGCCATTCAGATATTCTTAAAGAGGACGTTTCAAGCTTCATTTTGCATTTCTGCGCATATTTCTATCTTCATTATTTACCAAGTTATGATCATTTGAAATTTTGTAATTTTTTCTCAAATTTTTAGTATACCGGGTTTTTTGCGTTTGAGTGTAGTTCCAGCGATACAAGCAATCATGGATGACAACTTCGAGCATACTTGGTTCCAATAAGATGGTGCCCTCCCACATTACGGAAGGGACGTCTGTAATTATCTGGACACAGTGTTTCCTCATCGATGGATAGGTAGAAGAGGATCTATAGAATGGCCTTCTCGATCACCCGATTTATCACTTAACGATTATTTCCTGTGGGGCCATTTAAAAGATAGAGTTTACAAAACGAAACCACAAAATTTGGATGACTTACGAAATCGAATTCTTGATGAAGCTGATCTCATCCCTGCTGATTACATTCAAAAAGCCGTTTCATCTTTTTATGATAGATTAGCTTATTGTCAAACTGTTGATGGCGGACATTTTGAACAATTACTTTAAAGCTTTTCAGTATTGCCTTAGTTGGCCGGACAACTCCCGACCTTACCTTAGTTGGCTGGATCATCCTACGATCTTGCCTTAGTTGGCTGGATCATCCTCCGATCCTGCCTTAGTTGGCCGGATCATCCTCCGATCTTGCCTTAGTTGACCGGATCTTCCTACGATTTTGCCTTAGTTGGCTGGGTCATCCTCCGATTTTGCTTTAGTTGGCCGGATCATCCTCCGATCTTGCCTTAGTTGGCTGGATCATCCTACGATCTTGCTTTAGTTGGCTGGATCATCCTCCGATCTTGCCTTAGTTGGCTAGGTGTCTTATTTTAAAAACTCAATAACTTCGGAACAGCTTATTCAAATTTGATAAAACTATAGTGCTTTGAAAAGGTCTGAAGAAGAGATAAAAATATGCAATAAAAAATTGAGAGTTCTATTTAAAAAATCCGAGGTTACCTTGTGTTGACCTTGATGACGCCACCCAAGGTCAAATTGTTAAGATCGGTAAATAGATCTTTTTTAACGCTACAACTTTTGTCTGAAACATTTTTTTATAAAGTGTATATTTTTCGAAATTTTTAGGGGTCCCGGGGTTTTTCCTTCACTCTGTATCACTAGTTTCCATCAGGGTATAGCAGTAGCGTAGTAGTATGATGCGTGACTCAAGAGATCCCAGGTTCGAATCCATCAGAGCTCACAGAGTTTTTCCGCAAATGCAATATGCAAATTAAGTAGCTGATCAAGAGCCAGAATTGCCAACTCCCTAATAATGTCGTCTAAAATTTGCTTATTTCAAAAATCGATTAGTTTTTGCCTGTGGGAAGGTCTGGTTCGTCAAAACATTCCCCCTCCACTCGATCCGCCGGCGCCGGTGGGCGTGGTTTAGTAGCGCCGGCGAGTCGAGTGGAGGGGGAATGTTTTGAGGGGCCATACTTTCCCACATACTACTCATATACGCACGCACGCACGCGTGCGCGCGCACATACACACACATACACACGCGCGCGCACACGACACGCACACGCACACACACATGCACACACACACACATGCGCGCACACGCACACGCACATGCACACACACACACATGCGCGCACACACGCGCGCACGCACATACGTATGTACATATATATGTAAGATCTTATTCTTCATGACATATATCACGTCCTTATTTTCTGCATGTACATCTTATTGAAGTAGTGGATAAAGCACTTGATGCACAATGCGAACTTTGACCCATCATATCTTGAAGATAAAGATTGGGCTCAATCTCAAACTTTCAGAGTATTAATGTCTTATATATAACTATCGTTTAACACCATATTCAAATCTGATTTCAAGGGTGAGGAAACAGGCGATTTTTGGCCTTCTTTGGTCTCTCTCTTTATAAGAATGTACAGTATAAATACGAGAAGAAAGAAGGTTTATTTTTTGTGGCAGGAATAAGGTTTATTCTTTTGTGGCAGAACGGAATATAAATGTTCCTGCAGGCTCTTGCAGGTTTTATACAATATCATGGTCACAAGTTTAAGCTGGTAATAAGTATTTGCTGAAACAGCAGATAGGACATTTTGTGGTCCTTTTTGTGAAAATTTCCAATTGGACCTTATTCGAATCCTATTATGTTACTAACCTTACATCTAAATTTACATTTTACATAATCACACAATTCTACACACACACACATACACACGACAGAGAGGGTTTGGAGTTATTAAAGACTGTGGAAATGACGAATCACGGGGTTCTGATGTCTGCATAACACACACACATACATATGCGCGCACACACACACACACACATACGCGCACAAAATATATTTGTTTTTTCAAATATTTATATATTAACTTAATCTGTGTATTAAAAAACAGGCATTTTTTAAACTTCAATAGCACTCACTTTAAGCTATCGTATCTTTTATAATTTTGTTTTTCAGAGTTTGTGCCAAAGAAAACTTCTGATTAGCACCACCTAAACCATAACATTTTCATAATATCAGCTAATTTGACCGGCATAACTTTTTTCATATATTATAAAATGTGCGGGATCTTTTTCATATTAGATGTAAGATGTGTTGCGAAATTCATCAAAGAATAATGTTATATTATGTTTATAATTTTTAATCGAGCAATAGAGCACACAGATTTTATGTCAATGATTTTATGCTATTTTTAAAACGCAACTTTCTCAGCCATGGTTCTAATGTTACTACCTTGCTACTTGTTGGTAATTACGAATCCTCCCTTCCTAAAGTGTTTACATACATTACGGAAAATTTTATGATCATAATCAATACGCGAAATATGATATGCGCACATGATGTAATACGACGTAACAGTATATGTACTCAACTAGACAATCATGTACATAACATATGTATAACAATGTATAACAATGTATAATAACAGTAATAAATAAAAAATTTCTTAATCACTATCCAAAAAGTACTTTATGTGAATCTTTTATAAGAACGATTCGTATTCGTCGTACAATATATTTATGATCTGTTGAAGAAATCGAAGAATGATGAAGAGAAAGGAAAGGTAACGTTCGGTTTCTATCCTAATAGATAAAAAAATAATAGCGTCTTGTTCCGTCATATGACAAAGGTACTAGTTAAGTCTGCTATTTGGCAGATTGATATCGTAAGATAAAAATGCTATATTACCTAAACGTCAGTCATAAGTTTGTTATTACAATGAATAATATAGAAGCTAATGCAGAACGATATCTAATATAGAACGAACAGAGAAAATGAAATATAGCGGTGAATATCTAGCGGATATCAGAAATATGTGATGCTATAGGCGTATGTTTCACGTGCTCGGATAAATCGCTTCGTCTGTTGTCATTTCGTATGTATGTATGTGATAATTAATTTTTTTATATAATTTTAATCAAAATCGCGTAAATATTTGCATATATGTTTTTCAGAATATATGTCGATACAACATCGAATGATAATTGTTATATGTTGCTAATTGATTACAGAAATATCTATAACCAGGAAACATCGAGGAACTTCATGTCAAAAAATACAATTATATTGTTATATTAACCGTTCTTGTCTCCTATGAAAAAAAGACTTCGGCCAAAATAAAATGCATGTGCTGCAATTTACTCTAACAATTTGCGCGATCGCCGGATGCTGGCAACCGCTTTCCTGGATATCGACTTTTAAACATACAATATATAACATCTATAGAATGTTACTGTTCCTTATATTATTCTTATTCAACATTACTCAATTCATGAATGTTATATTTAACGTCGGTAGTTCCGACGAGTTTATCAACACTATATACATGATGCTGTCTGTTTTTGTAGCGTTCTATAAAATGATTATCATGTGTTTAAATTGCAAAAGTATTACCGGTATAGTCACCGTTCTCACGAAGAAACCCTTCGCGCCTACGGAATCAGATGAGGTAATAATTCGGCAAAAATACGACAAAATTGTACAGTAAGCATCGTCTTCTAATAGCGAGTATAATAATTGTAGAACACCCACTATGTGTGTAATCAGCAACATTTTGAACACTTCAAGTACAAAAATAAAACATTTTGAATAACTCTTCAGATGCAAATGGAAATAACTATTTTCATAGTCAATTCGTAGGAACATCGCGTTATGGTACTTAACTCTCGTTATGACAACTGTCGTGTGTATGATTTTTACATCCGTTTTCGTGAATTTCATGAGGGGAAACCTCACTTATCCAGCATGGTTTCCGTTCAATTATACGGCACCTATTATATTTCCCCTTGTGTTCTTTCACCAAACAACAGCTATAACAATTGGCGCAACAGTGAACGTCACCTGCGACAGCCTAATATGTGGACTTTTATTGCATGTATGCTGTCAGCTTGAGATTCTAGGATACAGATTAATGCAAATTCCACAAAAACGACATATCCTATCTGACTGTATACTTCATCACGACCGTATATTTGAGTATGTTCCTATTTTATAATTTCATTTTTTTTATTTATAAAACTCTAACTGTATTCTTCTTCTTGTGGAGTGATTTGAAATCGTTTGAAACGCAGACAAATAAAATACCGCGCAATATTCACAGATTAATGAACAACATTGGGTATTATCTTTGTAATCAAATCTTAAAAGTAATTTGATTAATCTGCTAACCTTTTTAATTACAGATACGCGTGCATGGTGAACGACCAATTCATGAAGATAATTGCTCTTCAGTTCGGAGTAAGCACGTTGGTAATGTGTTCCAATTTATTCCAATTGGCTATAGCAACAATTGACGCGAATATTGTGCCATTGATACTTTATACGGCCTGCACTTTATCACAGATTTTTATCTACTGTTGGTTTGGAAATGAAATTAAAATTAAAGTAAACATAATTTATATAGAATAGTAATCTTACACTACACGTTGAAGATGAATTAACATGTTGAATGTGAACCGTGAACGGTTATTGGTGATTATGATACTACCGTGTCTCACTAATAAGTAACACTACCCAACTGTCACTCACCGATTCCAATGAAATTTGGCATGCACATTAGTAGAACATTGAAAAATATTGAACACATGTCTTTTTATATCGCCTGACAACGCATTTTAAGGGTGGAAATTACCCCTTGATCTTTGAACATGAAAGCACTATTTCAACCCTTTGTAAATATTACATGTGATTTCCGTCAAACTTGTCTTCCATTGAACTAGTCAGGGAGGAGTTTTTAGGGTCGCTGATTACGAATCTGGAGATACAATTACAAAATTCAAGATGGCAGACTCAATATGGCGAACCAAAATTATAAAAAGATGACTGATTTAAACCAACTTTGATATCTAGAGATTTTTAGAGTCTAGAGGGTCTAGAGGGACCTTTAATTACGAATCTGGAGATAAAATTACAAAATTCAAGATGGCGGAATATGACAGATGGCGGAATATGACGCAATATGACAGATCGAATTTGTATCAGTGAAGGAGAATATTGCCTTAGGCAATTACATTTAATGAATTTAACAATGAATCGGTATTCAAAATTGACCTGTCTCGTCAGTTTTTTCAGATTAGGAACTTGGTCTTCCAAAAGATTATTATCCGTCAATATCCGAGCGGAATATGTAATTATATTCTGACATATCTTGAAGATATACATAAAGATATCTTGATGTCTTAAGCTTTATATTTATTCATTTATTTATATTCTATTTATTTGTATACTTATTCATATTCATTCATATTATTTATTTAAATTCTGAACTTGAACAGCAAAAAATCTATTAATATTCAAAACGTTTATCTTAACGTCCAGAAAATTTATATAACTAGTATCCTTAAAAGTTTACAATAAACCTTCTTAAAGTCTTACAAGTAAAACATATTACAATAATAATGGTAATAATAATAATAATAATAATAAAGTGCGACAAATGAATTATATTTTGACTTCCAACTTCAGATTCGTAATTAGAGGCCTCATAATCTTCCAGATACCAAAATTGGTTTGAATCAGCCATCTTTTTACAATTTCGGTCCGCCATATTTGGTTCGCCATCTTGAATTTTGTAATTATACGAGGGTGGTCCGATAAGTACTTAGCCTCACCGCCCGATGGCGCCACTATCGCAAGAGAAATTTACTATCGTGTAGTACATTCTCGTAGACGGCTATTGTCGAAATTTCAGCCGAATCAGACTCGTAGTTTTGTTTTGACCGCGTGTGGAAGTGGGCGTGTCCGCGGATTTTAGAAAAATGGAAAAAGAGCAATATCGGTCGGTGATTCGATTCTTGTTTTTGGAAGGGAAATCGCGCAGCGAAATCAAAAAGCGCTTGGATGCTGTGTACGGTGACTCTTCTCCTTCGATGGCGACCGTCAAAAATTGGTTTAACGAGTTTCAACGTGGCCGCACGTCGGTTTTTGATGAGCCACGCCCAGGTGCCCCGAAAACGGCTACACGGAGGATAACATGACAAAAATCCACGATCTCGTATTGGCAGACCGCCGATTGAAGGTGCGCGAGATAGCTGAGACAGTAGGCATATCAAAAGACCGCGTGGGTCATATCCTGCATGAAATTTTGGGCATGAGAAAGCTGTCGGCGCGATGGGTGCCGCGTTTGGTCACTCCAGACAACAAGCGCAACCGTGAGACCACTTCAGAGCAGTGTTTGACGCTGTTTAAGCGCAATCCGAAGGAGTTTCTGCGTCGTTTCGTGACCGTCGACGAAACATGGATCCACTGGTACACACCAGAGACCAAGGAACAGTCGAAACAGTGGACTTCACCCGGCGAACGTGCTCCGAAGAAGGCGAAGACTGTCCTATCGGCCGGAAAGGTGATGGCCACCGTTTTCTGGGATTCACAAGGTGTGATCTACATCGACTACCTGGAGAAGGGCAAAACGGTCACAGGGCTGTACTATGCCGAATTATTGGGCCGATTCGACGCCGAATTGCAGAAAAAACGGCCCCATTTGGCGAAGAAAAAAGTGCTCTTCCACCATGACAACGCACCGGCTCACACCTCCGCCCTCGCCACGGTCAAATTGGTCGAATTGGGCTACGAACTGCTGCCCCATCCACCGTATTCTCCAGATTTGGCCCCGTGCGACTTCTTTTTGTTTCCAAACTTGAAAAAGTCACTCGTCGGGCAGAAATTTGAGTCGAATGAGGAGGTCATCGCCGCCACGGAGGCCTACTTTGCAGACCTCGAAAAAACGTATTTTTCAGACGGGTTAAAGAATTAGAGCATCGCTGGGTCAAGTGTATCGAGCTAAAAGGAACTATGTTGAGAAATAAATCGCCACTTTTCCAAAATTTTCGTTTTTCTTTTGTAGGCTAAGTACTTATCGGACCACCCTCATATATCCAGATTCGTAATCAGCGACCCTAAAAACTCCTCCCTGACTAGTTCAATGGAAGACAAGTTTGACGGAAATCACATGTAATATTTACAAAGGGTTGAAACAGTGCTTTCATGTTCAAGGATCAAGGGCTGATTTCCACCCTTAAAATGCGTTGTCAGGCGATATAAAAAAACACGTGTTAAATATTTTTCAATATTTACTAATGTGCATGCCAAAGGAGGAAGGTCAATAAGGCCGGTTTTTGGGCCCACCTCCGATTGGTCTCAAAGTACGTCATTTTACTCATCTAAGTGGGCCTCATTACATACTGTAAGGATTTTTCTTAATAATGATTTAATTAAAAAAATAGGCATTTTTATATTCCCATTTTACATGGGTTTCCGTACCTTCGATCAAATGATGCTGGGTTTCATATTGTTAACATTGTTCACACAAGATCATACTTTCCCAAAAACTGCATATACAGGGTGGTTGATTATAAGTTGCCAACCCGAAATGTGAAGCTAGATTGGGTTAAGATAAACATAAAGGTCCCATACCGTTTTGCGAGATTCGCAATAATTATCGAGTTATTAATGACAGAAATCTGAGGAATGAGAGCGCGCCGACATAGATAATTGGAGAAGCATTGCAGCTGCTTAGGCCGCAGCGCGGCCCAGTTGATCCAGAAACTGTTGCCGGTGCGCGGCGAGGGGAAAGACAATGCGCCGCTATTCGTTGTTTTATCTCGCCGGATCTACGTCTCGCCGCACGTCGCCAACAGTTGCTGGGTCGAGTGGGCCGCGCTGTGGCTTGAGTAGCTGCAACGCTTCTCCAATCATCTATGTCGACGCGCTCCCATTCCTCAGATTTCTGTCATTAATAACTCGATAATTATTGCGAATCTCGCAAAACGGTATGGGACTTTTATGTTTATCTTAACCCAATCTACCTTCACATTTCGGGTTGGCAACTTAATAATAATCAACCACCCTTATATATGCACTACAACGTATGTCAGAGCCATCATTTTTCTCGAGGTACTTCGCCTTTAAAATACAATTTTTTGCACACTTTATTATGCTTGCGTCCGCAAAAGAAGAACAAATCCTTTATCTCAAAGAGAATTCCTTCAAAAAAACATCAAAACAGATGAAGATCAACCAAAACTGATGGTTAATGAGACAAAATATATCGTTCATGTGTGACTGCGTCTGCATCAGTGAGGGCCTCCGGCAAAGCAAATCGGCCACGACGGCAGTAGTTCGCGCGGCCACCGTCGTGGTCGATTTGCTTTGCCGGCGGCCCTCACTGATGCAGACGCAGTCACACATGAACGATATATTTTGTCTCATTAACCATCAGTTTTGGTTGATCTTCATCTGTTTTGATGTTTTTTTGAAGGAATTCTCTTTGAGATAAAGGATTTGTTCTTCTTTTGCGGACGCAAGCATAATAAAGTGTGCAAAAAATTATATTTTAAAGGCGAAGTACCTCGAGAAAAATGATGGCTCTGACATATGTGTAGTGCATATATATACGCAATTTTTGAGGAAGTATGATCTTGCGTGAGCAATGTTAACAATATGAAACCCAGCATCATTTGATCGAAGGTACGAAAACCCATGTAAAATGGGAATATAAAAATGCCTATTTCTCTGAATTAAATCATTATTAGGAAAAATCCTTGCATTATGTAATGAGGCCCACATAGATGAATAAAATGACATACTTTGAGACCAATCGGAGATGGGCCCAAAAACCGGCCTTATTGACCCTTCTCCTGTCATTGGAATCGGTGAGTGACAGTTGGATAGTGTTACTTGTAAGTTAAATATAGAACAATGTGTAAATGAGAAATTATACACTGCTCAAAAGAATTATGACATAGATAATATAGGTCTGCATGATTTTGTGTTTTGAATTTCAATGGTCATTTCCTACGAAATTTTGTCCACTGAATACGAATCCGCCTTAGAATTTCTCTATCACGTCAGGTTTTCGAGATAATTATAACTTAAAAATTAAAAAAATTGAAACCAATAAAATGAAAGAACATATAATACTTTATTGTACACAGTAAGAAAAAAATGAAAATAAAAAGATAGGATTCTTTGGAAGTTATTTTTATATTATACACCAATTAAAAACATCATTGTTAACATGGTGAAAATTTTTTAGGAAATTATGACAATAGAGTCTTGATTATTCTGAACTACTTGCGTAATTAATGCCATTTCATTGATAAAAGTAGGAACTTCACAGAACTGACGTGAAATTAATGCAATATTACGTTTGTAACACTATGCTGCAATAATAAATTGATATATTCTGTTCCTCTTATCATAACATATCATTTAAAGTGTGTAGAGTATTTACATATTTCATTTGTTCTCTTTAATACATACATTTTTTTTAATGAAATAGCTTCGCGCAAGTGTAAAAACGATCCTGATAAATTTTGCTACATCTATGGTGAATACGTTCCGCAAAAGCAAAAAGTTCCTATAACTCAAAATAACAAACATTATTTTCAATATTTTGATATTGAAATAAAAAATCTTAATAAACCATGGGTTCCTCATACAATTTGTAGAACTTGCTATCAAGGATTGAGATATTGGTTGAAAGGAAAAAGAAGTGGCATGCGATTTGGTATTCCAATGATTTGACGTGAATCAACTGATCATATAACTAGCTGTTACTTTTGCTCATGCAAATCACGGGCTATAATGCTTGCAATAAGAAAAACATCTCTTATACAACACTTTCATGCGCTACAAGACCTTTTTTCATGGACCTGATATTCCTATTCCTTCTCCACCAACGAACCCTTCTTTACCATCTTTAGACAACGACATTCCTGTTGAGAACAATGTAGATTTTAAAACTTATGAAATCGATCCGGTTGATGACAATAGTCCAAAGCCTTTCAATCAGTCTGCTTTAAATGATCTTGTAAGAGATATAGGTCTATCTAAAGAAAGTACAGAGTTACCGGGATCCAGATTGAAAGAAAGGCATTTGTTAGAATCATAAGCAACGTTTCCTTGGTACAGACATCATGAAAAAGAATTTATTCCCTTTTTTTATGGTAGATTCATTAGTTTTCTGCAATAATGTATCTGACTTGATGCATTTTTTGGGATTAAAGTCTTATAATGCTAATGAATGGAGACTTTTTATTGATTCCTCAAGACGAAGCCTAAAAGCTGTTCTCCTTCACAATGGGGGAATATATGCATCAGTACCTATTGGACACTCAGTTCATTTAAAAGAAATATATGAAAACTTAAAAACACTGTTGGGATATATTAACTATGAACAACACAATTGGTTAATTTGTGGTGATTTGAAAATTTTATTGCTTCTAGGACAACAGCAAGGTTTCACCAAATTCCCATGATTTCTTTGTGAATGGAATAGTAGACCAGAGAACTTCATTGGACAGAAAAGAATGGAAAGTAAGAAAAAGCTTGGAACCTGGCGTGAAAAATGTAATGAATGAAATATTAGTTAATCCTAATAAAATTTTGTTACCTCTGTTGCACATAAAATTTGGTCTAATGAAGTGTTATGTCCTGGAGGAGAAACATAATTTGACGTTTGCTTTCACAGTTCCGACGTACTCGCAAGTCTGCGGTGCAGATCAAGAATCGGAATGACCCCTTTATCTGGCGTGGACGTACGTCAGTTGTCCTTTATTTAGGTCAAGGAACTGAATCTTTTACCTGGGATAAGACCGTGAACGATAGTTAAGGGAAGGGAGAATTTTTTGTTGAAAATAATTAGTTGGAAAGTGATTGGCTTACAATTACAAACTTGTTTTATTGATGATTAGACGGAAGTTCACAATGAAATAAAATTTGTAAGATTTTATAATGTATACGTATACATATATGTATAAACAATCGCGATTTGAGCAAAATTCCGTGTTCGTTATGTCCGACTGTGTTCAGAAAGATTGGGCCACTGACACCGAATTTCACAATTAAGGAGACATGCCAAGGGGGATAGAGAAAAGGAAGAAAAAGGAAAAGAAAAGAAAAGAGAGAGAAGAAAAGGAGAAAAATGAAAAGAATGGGGTCAGTCAGGTAAAAGAAAGTATAAATAACTTACTGCTGGATCTATGCTATTTGTCGGAAATGAAGAGTGTAATTCCTGCGTGTCTGTGAGGATGGACCCAAGTTTTGCGCCAAGAATAGGAAGCTAGTTTCCACTGGATTGTTTACGATGATCCAAAAATGCACGAGGTCGTTGCACGGAATAATTAACAACTGGCAAAACTCTGATCTGTCTAAGCCACTAGTAGGCTAGGTTGTTAAGAGACCCTGAAGGGGTGCTGAAGAAAAGATTCTATCCTGGCTGCGGGTCGGTCGCGAGGAGAAGTAGACGTGGTATAGCCTTTTCGTTTTACTCGAAACGTCATCTCGGTCGAGAAGGTGGGGTTTTGGAAGTTGCATCAGGGCTCTAAGGTTTATGTCCAAGTATAGGATTTTGTTGCAAAACTTTTTGAAAGTGGGGTTTTAGGGAGGCCTAATATTGTAAAGGATCGGGTATCTTCGTAGTTTCGCTAGGTCTAGGCAGAGGTTGTGCGCAATAAAAATTTATGAGTAAACGTGGAAAAACGCATGAGTTTCAGAAGATCAAAGGCTAGTAGTGTCATATAGTGTCATAAGATTGTCTGGTCGGTCCGTCTTCAAAGAAAATTGTTGCTCCAAACAGGAGGAACAGGAGGAAGTTATTCAAGGTTATTTGGAGAGAACATCTGGCTAAAATAACTCAGCGGATCTTTCTGACAGAAATAGTGAAACTTCGATAATTAAAACAAAGAAAAAAAGAGATGTCTGAGTGTGACGTCACTGTGCTCAGAGGGTCGCGGAACATGAACACTTGGTCGTATAATATAAAATTTAATTTGCTTTACTTGATAACGAATTTAGAATACGCGGAGACCGCAGGACGTAACAGAAGCAATTCGTGATGGCTCTGCATAAGAAAAGAAATTGTTTTAAATACCTCTGTACAAAGTTTCCTCATCTCACTGATGCAAAGATTAAGGAAGGCATTTTTATTGGGCCTCAAATTAGATTACTTACTAAAGACGAGATATTTGATAAAACAATGACTTGTTTAGAAAGAGAAGCTTGGGTTTCATTGAAGAAAGTGATTCTGGGTTCCTTGGGAAACAAAAAAGATTCTAACTATAAAGAATTGGTGAATAACGTGCTTGAAAAGTTTATGAAATTAGGATGCAATGTGAATCTAAAGATATATTTTTTGAAAAGCCATCTTGACTACTTCCCTAAATGTAGCTTAGGAAGCGTAAGCGAGGAACAAGGGAAAAAAGTTAATCAGGATATTAAAGAGATGGAGGGTCGAAAAGATATCAGGGTCGATGGGATATTCATATTGTTGTATCCGAGCCACAAGGTTTGTGGCAGCGTCCGTTGTTCGTGAGCCTTAGGCATCTGATGCTGATTTTGATAACTGAACGAAGATTGTCTGGACGACGGAAAATCGATAAGAAGAAAACAATAGCTGACAGAGAGAGAGTTTCCGGCAAGCTGTCATCATGACAGACCCGAGAATTGTAGATCAGAGAATTATTCTTGTTTAAAGCTTGAGCGAGCTGCGCTGTAAATATTAGTTTGGGAAAAAAGAAATCCATTATTTTTTCCGCTAGATGGCTTTAGTGGTATATATCACGTGATGTATTAATCGCATAGGTTAATATTTATACTCGTTGGAAAAGCGATATTCCGTACTAAAAAAATTCTTTAACGGTTTTGTGATTTGTCGATTAAGTTGTGAGTTATAGCGTGAAAAGACGTACGTCAATAAAGAGAAAATTCGGTATATTTTACAATTTTGCTTCGATAAAAACGAAAATGCAAGCCAGGCGGCTGAAGTTGTGAATGGTGTTTATAGTCCCGATACTGTCACGGCCAATCATGCGCAATTTTGGTTTCGTCGATTCGGTTTCGGTAATTTTGATGTTAAAGATGCATCTCGCACAGGTAAGCCCATCGTCGAAAATGTCAACAAAATTATGGAAATGAACCATTTGCATAAAGCTGGATTCAAAAAAAGCTTGATGTTTAGGTGCCACACGAATTGACGCAAAAAAACATGATGGACTGAATTTCAATCTGCAAAGCCTTGAACAAACGGAACGAAATCGAGCCATTTCTGAAACGGATGGTGACTGGGGATGAGAAATGGATTACATACGACAATATTGTGCAAAAACGATCGTGGTTAAAGCGCAGCGAAACGGCTCAAACGGTGACCAAACCAGGATTAACGGCCAGGAAGGTTTTGCTGAGTGTTTGGTGGGGCTATAAAGGAATCATCCACCATGAGCTGCTTTCATATGGTCAAACTAAATTCGGACCTTTATTGTCAACAATTGGACCGTTTGAAGCTAGCAATCGACCAGAAGGGGCCAGAATTGGTCATTATGAGAGGAATTGTTTTTCATCAGGACAATGCCAGGCCACATACGTCTATAGTCACTCGTCAAAAACTCCGGGAGCTTGGTTGGGAAGTTTTTATGCATCCACCTTATAGTCCAGACCTGGCACCAAGCGATTACCATCTGTTTTTGTCATTGCAAAACTTCTTTGAATGTAAGAAATTGACTTTAAGAAAAGACTGTGAAATCGCTTAGTCGAGTTTTTTGCAAATAAGGACCAGGGCTTCTATGAAAGAGGGATCATGAAATTACCTTTAAAATGGCGACAAATTGTAGAACAAAACAGTGCTTATTTGACTAAATTCGAACAATCCTTATTATATTAAATAAAGCCTTGAAATAAACGAAAAAATATTTATTTTTCCCCAACCTAATAGTAAACTTGTTATTCTTACGCTAGTGTTTTCATTTACCTGAGTGCAAGCGCGAGTGCGAGAGTAAGTGTACATATTTTGTTACACTCACAAAATGTTATAATTATACTCACTCTCGCACTCGCGCTTGCACTCAGGTAAATGAAAACACGCGCGTAAGAATAACAAGCTTTACTATTTACAGCGCAACTCGCTCAAGCTTTAAACAAGAATAATTCTCTGATCTACAATTTTCGCGTCTGTCTACGATGACAGCTTCGGAGACTCTCTGTCAGCTGTTGTTGTTTTCTTCTTATCGATTTTCCGTCGTCCAGACAATCTTCGTTCAGTTGTCAAAATCAGACGCCCAAGGCTCACGGACAACGGACGCTGCCACAAATCTTCAAAAGAACGTTGGGTCCACGACCCAACGTTCTTTTGAAGAACACCCCGATTCCCTGTCTCAACATTCGCCCAACCCACGGAAAAACCACGATCAAAAACCGTGGGGGGAGGCAGCCTTCTCACTTTTCTTGTTTCCGGATGTGGTCCTCTGAAACCGCTCTCCAAAATTACACCTTAAAGTAAAGAAAATGAATGCAAGATTTGTTTAAATAATTTTACCATTAAAAATTTACAGGTCTCTGATGTATTCTCTATTCCTGTCTCTCACTAAAAGAAGCTAACCTATCTGCATGTACTACTTTATTCCTGCTCTTACTCGATTTCCTAATA